CCCATTGACAGCGAACACCGTATAAGAATGTCGTGGAATATAGACCTCTCGTATGTTATATATTGTTGCAGGAACTTTTCTTTGATGCGTCTTAAGAGATGTTTTAAGTCTCAATGATGCGTCACTTCATCTGTGAATTCGTGAGGCATCCAATTGTCGAGTTTTGTTTTTTTTTTACTTTTTATAGATGTGAAACAGTGTGTCATTTAGTGTCTGGATGATCTGTTGCACAGTTTGTCATGAATCTGATTTGATTAAATCTCTTAATTCATTCGTATCAATGGGGAATGGACGATGGCTACAGGATTTGCTTTGCATCCACAAACCTGTTGAACAGAATTTTGCAAACAAACGCGAGTGGATATCTCACTGAGGTTTCCTCCATCGTTTTTCCAAATTGAAATCGTACGTTTATAGCAGCCTTGATTGATTTACATAATTGGCATAATGTCGGGAGGTAATTAATGATTAATGCTTATAGAACAAAACAAATACTACTTTCCCATCCACATTTCGTAGAATACAAAACCATTTGTATAAATCTTAACGTTTCCTCTCTTCCACTACGAATAGAAACCTGACGTCTTTCATTCCCATCAAGCTAATGCAGAAATTGCTATTTCATTTCTAACAGTCCTATACATACTTGAAATACGCAGCTTAAATAAAGAGGTTTTCGGTCCGGAAACTTCGGCACATGATGAAGTGGGAATGAGGTGATAAAGATGAAATACCGTTGGTCTAAATAAAACAAACATCTGAAGTTTTAACGTCTTTATTTCTCCGTTTGAAACCATATCTGCTTTAAAGCATTTTAATTGGTATAAAGAATTAAACTGATGAAAATTTGGTTAGTTACTAATTTAAATGAATTAAACTAATTAAACTAAATTTAACTAAGCCTGTCGGCAGTTTCCCTTAGAAAGTTTTCCACGAAGGCATCCCTTCCCTTAGGCAGACAGCTCAATGCGCTTTGCCGTTATCTCAATAACCCAAACCAGCACGTAAAGTTACTAATTATTCTCAATCATAAAACATGTTATTCAGTTCTTCATAAAAGAGAATTTGTTTTCCATTTTTAGTTCTTAGCCTAAAATGTATCGATTTAATTAGTTTTCCAAGTTCGTATTCTAAAATTAGTTGCAAAATGTGTGTTAAATTGAAAGTTCTTTTAAATGAGTAGTCTTTAGAGCCTTCTGGAAATGAAGAATATTAGATGCGAAAATCAATTAGTTTCCTTTTTTAGATATTCCAGTGCTAGGGACTGAAATATATTTCTATAGATACATTGACTAGCACTATTATTAACTCGCTGACCGCGGAATCGTGAATACGCTTTCGCCTTTTATCTCGAATATATGCGGAAAATGTTGTTCTCGCATCGGCAGAAGCTGAGATTCAACTGCTAATCAGTTTCGGCAAGAAACGAAAGAAAAGGCACGAATTTCGTACCTGTGGGTCAGAGGGTCACCAGAAAAATAGGGCTGCAGTTGTGACTAATATGCGTATTCCCTCAAAATGCTCATTTACGCAAATTTCATTCACCTGCCGTGATCAGATTCACTAGGGAGTTGACGTCGCTCGATGATTTGCTTGATACTACTGGAATTGTTACTGTATTTCAAGTGCTTGCTGACGTAATCGTGCTTAGCTGGTAAAAATTTATTATTAAATTAGTAATGCCTCTGTTTCACTTCAGTATTCCCAGTAACGAAGGGCTTACGGAAAGTCCATAGCTGTTATTATTACGTCACTTCGAAATTACCGAAACTTTATAACCAGTGTGAAGATGCAGCTCGATTTTGAATAAACTTATTACAACTGTCGTAGTAGAAGGTAATTCTGCAGATTAAGCTTGGTGAATGTCAGGCAACTAGATGCACCCTATTCAGTTGTGTGAAAACTATGTGCAAGAGTGCTGCAATCTTTTCTTGCGAAATAGTCAACTCCGACAAATATTTCAGTAGATGCAGAAACGCGGTTGCATGTTTCTCAGCTGTTGCCTTGCTGGGATGGAATTTTAATTGGAAGCTACGAACGTTGAAAAAACTTAATACGAACGAACGAACGTTGAAATAGTTTATCTGAATGCCAGTGGCAATACACAGTTGTTGCATACTGAGAAAAGTCATGCTTGAGAGCACAATCCCATTCGAAAGCTTAAAATCGGTGTGATGTGGCTATACTATCCTATTCATTACTTATCCGGCTCACGGGTGGGCAAGCGGTAAGGTCGCTAAACACTGTCCGGGGTGCGTAATGGCAAACTGCACATTCAGTTGATCAATGTTAAATGAATTTCGCATACTGCGCATGCCCAGAAGAAGAATTGGCGCAATTACGACTTGGTACAATTTTAAAAGAAGATAAATACGGTGTGTGGTTGATATTCTGTTATCTGGACATAAACAGTTCGAGATTTTGAAACTTATTATGTTGTAAGTTGCTTCATTACTTAGAGTGTAAATATCGATTGTAAATTACGCAAATTTTCGTTTAAGAATGTTTACAAAACAGGGAACATTACAAGATATATTAGATGAATCTTTATTGATTGTACTTCCGAGGAATAAAAGCAATTGCGTATTTACCATTCGTTGCATTCGTATATACTTTAACAAATAAAAGAATAAATCCAGTTTAAATAACTGAATTAATGTCAAGGAAATTATTATAAATAACCGATATTAAACATAACGTTTATAAACAAAATAAACCAAAATGAAATGAAACAGAAGCAAATGAATTAAGCACAAACAAGTTTCGGTAGTATTGCAATTGTAAACAGTTGTGAAGACTTACAAGACGCGCAGGCTTTTGTAGGGTTGCTATGCCCCCCTTAGTCGCCAGTATTTCCTCCCATGCCAACGGTAAACCACTTAGCATGCGCAAGATGCGAAATTCGTTAACATTGATCAACTCAATGTGCGGTTTGCCATTACGCGTCCGGGGTTAGAATCCCGTCGTACGGTCTGGTTGCATGGGCGTTTTCGTGGTTTTCGCCATGTGTAACGTGTATACGAGTCAGTATCTCTCAGAAAGTCGTTCTTCCACATTCTCTATGAAGTCGTTCTTCCACATAGGCAGATAGTCTTATCGATTGCTTTGCCAGAATCAATTAAATCAACCCAAACCAATCATTATTTTTCCCTATGCTTCCAAAAACAAAAAAAAAAAAAAAAGGGGGAGGACAAGGAACTTGTTCTGTTACTGCAGTGAAAATAACGACAAATACTTTTTGGTTTCATTGCCACCCCCCTGCGTTTTTTTTTTTTTTTTTTTTTTTTTTTTTAACTCCAGCAACTTTGATGTACGACCACGTTTATTCAGGTAGAGCACCCTCGCATAGGAATAACAATACCCTATTGCCTATTACGTCATTTTTTCAAAAATCGAATAATTGGTCTAACATTCTTTATGAAGTGGTTTCTGCCTGATCTGATTCATCTGATATTGGTTGTAGAAATATTTAAAAGCTTAGCTTATATACTATACGTAGATAGCTTAGATGTTTCAAGTGATATAACAAAGCTTCACGTGAAATAAGTCTGTTGAGGTCTCTTGCATTCTGCAAAGTGAAATATTGCTCACAAAATCCTGTTTTCGGAAAACATGCTGGGCTACTATATGGACAATTGATTCGTCACGCAAATAGCCAAGGGGTAAAGTCTCCGAATACTGGTAGTTCAATCGCGGTTTAATCTCTCCGAATGGGCTAGCTGCATGAGTGTTGGCTTTCCCCATTTGTAACATTGATTCGAACCAGTTCCCTTAGTCTTCCACGAAAGCACCCTCTCCCTAGGCAGACAGGCCTGGTGTTCTATGCCATGATCAGATAAACTAAACCAAGCTGGAATTTATTCAGAATAAAAATCGCCAATTGTGACCTTTACTTCATCTATTTCATGTATTTCTCCCTTTGTGACGATGCCCAGCAGCGGCCGAGCGCTAAAATCGCTGAACACTGGTAGTTTCATCCTGAGTTCAATTTCAGGCGAACGGGCTGGCTGCATGGGCGTTTTCGTGGTTTTGTGTATACGAGTCTAACATGTATATGAACCAGATTCCCTTAGAAACGAAGGCAATCCTTTTCTTAGGCAGATAGCCATAGTGTGCTTTGCCATAATCTACTGAACCATACCCCTTGTGATAAATCTCTGTACTATTTTTCCTTTATCAAAATTCCGAGTTTGTGTACTATGTAGACCAGACTTGTTGTCTAGCTAAATAAGGTTTGTATATCGAACCACGAACAACATAATTTTAAGTATCGACACCGCTCTAAAAGTGTTAATTTTATCATGGATTATTTATATAATTATTTTCATTATGCACATTGGCCAGACTATTTGGAAGATCTTCACGATTTTGGAATTCTACCAATATTTAGCGGTCATACCAAAAACTTGACTTTTCGAGACGCAGACATAATATTCAAACTACGCGTAGCAGTGAGAACTTGATTTAAGATTTTAGGTCTCATGATACTTTTGTGCATAAAATGAATATAATACAAATGGAACTGAGATTTTCGGCGTATTGTCGGTATAAATAATATTTGAAATGTAAGAAAATTGTCTATTTTCTTAGTTGCGTTTGCTCAGTTTAAACATTTCCTTGATACTTTGTTATCTGTTAAAAGACTTAAGAGAAAGTAAGTCCGTCGTTAATCTATCATATGACTAATCCTGTTTATCGCGAAGCACTGTTGCTTTTCCATTGTAAAGGGACAGCTGTTTGCTATTAAAACATTTTTCCGGCTTATGAACATCTAGTTGTAGGTTTCTGGTGGATTTTATCAGATGTGTATTTGTTGCAAAAGTAAGTGTATTTAATTACGGATCAGTTCTTTTTATTCCTAATGGAACATCATACATTTGTCTGTATTTTAATCTTCAGTTTATTCATGTGTGATTTCGGTTTTTATAGTCTCCAGATATTCAATTACTTTTCTGAAAAAATGTAATATCAATCGATACGAATGCTGGAATTGCTTTCAGGGTCACTGTATCCAAAGATTACGGAAAAAGATCGAAAACCATCCGCATGGAAGGACCCGATGGAGGATGGGCTTGGTTGGTAGCCCTTGCTGCTTGTCTCATCAATTTCATTATGGCCGGTTTGGGCAGGATGTCCGGCATTTTGTATGTTGCTTTCATCGATCTATTTCACGTCGACAGAGAAAGAGCTTCCTTACCCTTCAGCGTGCGTTCAGCGACAAGGAATTTACTTGGTTAGTTTCTTTTATTATATTTCGTTTGCGTATTTGTAGTCAGATTTAGTGACAAATGCATGCTTCCGAATTATTAGACTTTTAGTATTAATCTATAAGCATAACTTTTCAAATCTGAATATCATGCAAATGAAATTTACTCGTAGAAGGCAAAATGATTCCCAGACCCAGAAGTATTTTTGTATAATTCTTGTTTCTTTGTTTAGTGACAAAATAATTTTTAACGTTAATAAATTAAAATATGCAGTATAAAAAGGATAAATATTTCGTATTTCCAAAATAAATATTAATCTTTTCATAAATCTCTCGGTATATGTAAACGGGGAGGGGCACATTTCATCCAGCTGCAGTTAGTAAAGGTATTATATAATTGCTGTTTCTTTATTTAAAAAATCTGATGTGTGCACCACATGACTACTTGCACGGAATATTAAATTATACGCATTTTTTTCTTGCATTTCATTAAAAGTTATTGTATTGAATTAAATCTACTTCGTCGATAGCTCATAAAACACAATAGAATAAATGCACTGTTTAAAATTCACTCTATTTGTTTACCATAGCGATACTCTGGCGCTAGGTTCACTTAACAGCGTTACATTTCGTCCATATTATAACTCATAATGCATATAAATTTATATCATTTGAAGAATTATCTAATCGGTGCCATATAATCTATTCAAATACTATAATAAATCTAAAACGATGTATAAAAGAAATTAACCAAAGAAAACAAAAAAAAAAAGTTTTTCACAGACGATTCAGTATTTCTCATTCAATTAATTCAGTTCTCACTTCCCGACAAAGCAAAAATACATAAAAATTCAAAATATCTATATTAAAAATTACGAAGTAAATCTGAAACACTTATTTCCTCGAATAAATTACAGAATGTATTAAACATGATTTAATCGCAATAATAAAAGGTGTTATCTTTGTTGTTGCGAAGGTTAGTTTCTCTAGAGTGTCAAGAAATCCGCTATTTTTCCAAGTATAAAATGCAAACAAACATGTCCGCCAAAGCAAAAGTCATTAGGTGATAGTTGTTTAGCTGCACTTAAACAACTTTTAAATTGTTAACTCCACAAATATTGCATGCAGATTTACTAAAGGCATAAAACTCTTAACCGGAAGATAAGAGCAACATAATTCAATCATTTTTAAAGCAAAAAATGCACAACTTACAAACATATAACATTAAAGAAACTGAGTTCACTCAGCCGGTTAACAGAGTGTATATATATGAGATAATATAATTAATATTTCTTTACTAAATATATTATCTTACTTTGCAGCTATTGCGCAAGTATTAGAAAATTTTGTTTTCGAACTAGTGAATTTAAGGTTATATATATATATGTACGTTTGGTGCGGCTGATTGCAACCAAAATACGAGGTGCACATCTACATGTTATAGCAGTCCTATATACAAAATTTGAACGTTCTGAGGCTACTCGTTTTTGAGTTATGCGAGATACGTACGTACAGACGCCACGAAAAATTCTCCTTCAGATTTCATTTTAAATCAATTTTATAATTTTTGGGTGGAAAAGTCTTTTATTCTGTCCTTACGTACAGATGTCACGCAAAAACATCGTTAAATTGCATTGGATAGCGGTCAAAATGGATATTTTCGTTGAAATATGATGCCTGAAAATTTTCGCGATTACAATACTTCCTTTTTACTTCGTACAAGGAAGTAATTAATGAATCTTACTGAAAATTATAAAAAAATCTTTATTGGTTACGTTTTTCGTGAGGCAAAATGATTTGTAAATTATTTGTGAGACAGTGTCAATGTTTCTCTTTCTGCAAACTGTATTGAAAGCTTCCTCCGATTATGCTACAGAAGAAGGTTTATATTAGCAAAGTATTTATTTTAAAGTTTTCAAAAAAGCAAAAAATAAGCAATAATAAAAAAGTAAGAGATAAGTAATATGCTAGAGAGGTAAATTGGGAGCACCACCGGCTCATCAGATAATTTATACCTTTGTTATATAAAGTAATTTTGTGAGTTAAGCTGAGAAATGGACTTCTGTTTAGATCTAATCAACTCTAAACTTCACAGATAAACTTAAAATTATTGTTTTCAAAAATAGTCTTTCAAGGAAAAGAGCACCCTTCCTTCTAATCTGAGAAACTGCTTTTACTCAGATAGCTGCTAGCTTGCTTTGCCTTAATCAGTTGGTCGACCAGGGATGCAATGGGTAACACATCTAACAGTGGTAATTTGTTATTATGAATACGAATCGTTTCTCCGTAGAACGTCCTGGAAAAGGCATCTCTTCATTGGCAGATGCTCGTCATGTGCTTCAAAATCAACTAATGTAGATTAGGTAACTTGAGGAAACTCAGAATTGTTTAAACAAGTGTCTGTTTAAAACGGCATAAATGAAGTCTCTTTTAATTTGAAGTTGATCATTAGTTGAGTGTTAAAGAACGCTGATAATTCAGCCAGGCTTCATATCCCTATCAACGAACGATCTTACTGCTTGGAGCTGTTTCCCCATATGCAATGTGATTACGAACTAGTTATTGTTAGAAAAGTCCTCCACGAAGGTATCTCTCCTGATAAACAAACATCTCTCGCGTGCTTTGTCCTAATTAAATGCCAACACGATTTAAAGTAGGAAATTGAGTTTTCTAATAACCCATTCGTGGTTACTACTTTTTAATTTAGTTTGTTTTATTTCATACGGTTATCGTTTTGTAGAGACAATAGGTATTTTTGGGAACAGGCAAGATGAAAAATTAGCAACGCCTTCGCCGGGAAACGAACCACGGACCTCTGGGATACCGGTCTAGCGTGCAGAACCACTACACCACGAAGGCACGCTAGGAAGACGGGAGTGATGCTTTATATACTCCTCCTTTTAAAGGGCGACTAAGGTATTTAGGGGATTCAATGATTGGATGATAAATCGTGGGTGAGAAGAATCATCATCCAACATCCTTTTAGTTCGGGCCCCCACTGTAGAGACATTAGGTATTTTGGGGGGCAGGCAAGATGAAAAATTAACGCCTTCGTCGGGAATGGAACCACAGACTTCTGGAATACCGGCTCAGCGTGCAGAACCACTACACCACGAAGGTACGCTAGGAAGTCAGGAGAAACATCTTATAGTTTTTCCCATGCTAAGTACGTGTGTTTAATGAAATTATCTATAGTGGATTATTTCTGGAACTTTTAAGTTGTATTTTAGAGAGTTCTAAAATTTGTTAATATTAATTTCTCTGACAGTTGACAAAATGTTAATAAGTTTCGGATGATTTCCTTATTTTCAAACTTTGTAAGCGATTTGCATTTTGCTATTATTAAATTTTTCAGCAGAAAACTCAAGTCCATAAATGTTTTTTTATCGGCAGATATGTTCTAAAGAAATTTAACGAGTATAACAAAATATTTAATAAGAAATAATAAATTTTAATTAGTGTTACTGAAGTTGCTTAAAATCATTTAGATAACTACGGATATTTTGACACATATAAAATACGTTAATTCTATGCTATGCGATATTCTTTGAAAGTGAAATATAATCCTCTGTATCCTTTAGTTCTAATATGTTTTATGAATTTCTTATAGAGTAATTGATTTAAATATTGACAATATCGCTGTATTGTATGCGATTAATTTTTAAATTCATGTGGGGCTGGTGAATTTCAATTTAAGCAGAAGTAATAAACGAGCAACCAGCGACCGAGTGGTAAAATCGCTGAACATTGGCAGTTCCCAATGTAGAGCTCGATTTTAGGCGAACGGGTTGGCTGCATGATAATTTTCCCAGCTATCCATGTGCAACGTGTGTACACGAGCCAGTTTCCCTTAGTATGCAATGTGATTACGAACTATGATTACTGTTAGAAAAATCCTCCACGAAGATATCTCTCCTGTTAAACATCTCTCGCGTGCTTTGTCATAATTGATTAAATACCAACACAATTTAAAGTGCGGGTTGGTTGCATGTTGTCTCACTTTCAAAGAATATTGCATATACATGGAATTAATATATTTTACATCTGTCAAAATGTCGGTAATTATCTAAATGATTGTAACACTAATTAAAATTTATTATTTTTTATTATTATACTCGTTAAATTTCTTTAGAACTTATCTTCCCAAAAACATTTTTGGACTTAAGTTTTGTGCTGAAAAATTTAATAATCACAAAATGCAAATTGCTTACAAAGTTTGAAAATAAGAAAATCATCCAGAGCTTATTAACATTTTGTCAACTGTCAGAGGAATGAATATTAACAAATTTTAGGACTGTTTAAAGTACAAATTAAAAGTTACAGAAATAATCTACTATAGTTAATTTCATTAAACACACGTACTTAGCTTGAGGAAAAACATGAACGTAAAAAATAAAGCAAGCTAAATTAAAGCTTGAGGAAAAACATGAACGTAAAAAATAAAGCAAGCTAAATTAAGAAGTAGCATTCACGAATCGGTTATTAAAAATCTCAGTTTCCTACTTTAAATTGTGTTGGTATTTAATCAATTATGACAAAGCACGCGAGAGATGTTTAACAGGGTAGATACCTTCGTGGAAAACTTTTCTAACAGTAACTAGTTCGTAATCGCATTTCATACTGAGGCAAAATGGCTCCTATACATGTTACACATGGGAAAGCTATGAAAATGACCATGCAGCCAACCCGTTCGTGGATGAAATCGTCCACGGACGCATCCCTCCCTCCCTTTGGGCACATGGCCCTAATTTGCTTTGCCCCATAACCTATTAAACCAAACCAAACAAGTTTTTCATTAAATTTAGTTCCCATTTCTAAATTTGTATGTAATTAGAATGTAAATCAGTTTTTGTTATTTAACATTATAATTACAAATTTTAATTTGACTCACCAGTAACCATTGAGCATTCATAATTATAACCGGGTTGAAATTCCGATTAACGGGCTGACTACATTAACATTGTTTTTCTTAGCGTGTAACGTAAATATAAGCCAATTTCCTAATGTACCCTGCATGAACGCATCCA